CCCAGGTCACCCCCAGCCCCCCCAGCAAGGCTCGCAACCCCAGGAGGACCCAGAGTGCAGCACCCCCCAACCCCTTCCCCTCTCCCGCGAGCCTGGCAAGCCTGTCCCCTCCCCCAGACCGGGGCCTTGGGCTCGGGGGCAGGAGCCAGGGATTAGGAGCCGGTGGCCCCAGGGGCCAGGGCTGTACCTGGATGCGGCTGTTGCCCCAGTCGGCCACGATAATGTTGCCGTTGGCGTCCACGGCCACGCCAGTCGGGGCGTTGAACTGCCCGTTGCCCTCGCCGTGGGACCCGAACTTGAACAGGAACTCGCCGTCCGCACTGAAGACCTGGGGGGCAGAGGGGTGTCACATCCCCCACCTCGGGGGTCCCAGGCCTGGCTGGGGCAGTGTGGGGGTAGCGGGGGTGGGTCTCAGCCTAGGCTGGAGCAAGGGATGCTCAGCGTGGAGAGTAGGGTCCACCGCTGGGGCAGCCCCGCCAGCCCCGACCCGGGGCTGCCTGCGCAGGGAGAGGATGGGACACTGACCCCCCCCAGGCCCTGCGGGGCAGGCAGGCAGGGGTGCGCATGGCCCCGCTGCTGCCGCTCACCTTCACCGAGTGGTTGTGGAAGTCGGTCACCACGATCTCGTTTTTGTTGTTCACAGCAACGAAGTGTGGCCCTGCGGGGAGACGGGCTCTGAGCCAGGCTCAGGGCAGATGCCCGGACAGGGGGCAGGAAGGGGTAAAGGGCAGAGGGACAGGGAGTGACCACAGCAGCCCCAGCTCTGTTAGAGACCGAGGGGGTGGGGGTAGCAGGACCCCCAGACCCACCAAGCCCCACCCTTGAACCAGGAGGGAGCCCCGACATCTGGGCTCCCAGTCTGCTTCTGCTGCATCCCACCAGGCCCCACCCCTCCAGGAGCTGCTGTAATACACCGGCTGCCCCTCCGGAGTGGAGGAACCGGGGTGTCCGCGGTCCTGGTACCCCCCTGGCCATGGCTCCCTAGACCCCACTCCCATCTCACAACCAGGAGCCCAGGCGTCCCAGCACCCCCTGCTCTCCCCCAGAACTGGAAGAGGACCCAGGTGTCCGGCAGCGGGCCAGCGCTCCGGCCGTCAGAGCGGCT